ATGAAAATCTTATAAATCCATACCCCCCTAATTTTAATAATATACCCGCTAAAATTACAGACCCTGCTACCGGAGCCTCTACATGTGCCTGTGGCAATCATATATGAAATGGAATTTTAGGTATTTTAATAGCCAAACTTAAAAAAAAACCCATAAAAATAAGATATTGTAACTCTCTTTCATATTGTTGACAACATAGGGCTTGATAATCAGTAGTTCCCACTTGGTCATATAAAAAAAATATGGCTAATAACATAAAAACCGACCCAATAAAAGTATAAAAAAAGAAATAATAAGCCGCTTGCACTTTTTCTTCTCTTGATCCTCAAATTCCTATAATTAAAACCATTGGTATCAATACCCCCTCAAATAATATATAAAAACCCACTAAATCTAAAACTGTAAACACCCCCATCAATAATATTTCTATTACTAATAAACATAATAAAAACTCTTTTATTAAAGATTTAATCGAATTTCGACTTATTAAAACACAAATGGGAGTTAATAAAGCAGTTAAAATTAAAAAAAATAGAGAAATACCGTCCACTGCAAAAAGAGCCGATCCCGGAACTCACTCGAAATTTTTAATGGCTTGAAATTGCCCTTCCCCATCAAAAGAAGCCCATAAAAGAATTGTTGCTGTTAATGTTAACAAAGATCACTCTAAAGCAACTTTTTTTAATCTTATATCATCCTCCCTTATTATGACCAATATATTTAATATACCCATCACGGGAAATAAAACTACTAATTCTAACATTCTTTCTCTTAACATCAAGGAAATGAGACTTGAACTCACAACCTCCTACTCCCAAAGCAGACAATCCACCAATTGATCTATTCCCTGTCGACAACCCGATGAGAATGGGACTCGAACCCATGCAAAGCCAAAACTTTAGTAATTTAGCAAACTACCACCTTACCCCCTCAGTCATCTCATCTTAAGCAAAGATAAATCTTTGCACACTTTAAAGCGCGAACAAGATTAAAAAGGCCATCATTAAACAAAATAGCCCCATAGCCTCTGATATCGCAAACCCTAAAATTGCATATGTAAATAATTGCTGCTTTAGGGAAGGATTTCTTGCGTAACCTATGATTAAGTTACCAAAAACAGTACCTATTCCTGCCCCACTTCCTGCTGCCCCTATAGTAGCCGCTCCAGCCCCAACAAATTTAGCTGCAGTTAATATTTCAGTTGCCATTTAATTTCAATTATGATCTTGATTTTTTATAAATTTTAATTTTTTGTCTCTAGTAGGACTTGAACCTACAACCTCTTACTTACAAGGTAAATGCTCCCCCAATTGAGCTACAAAGACTTTTATGCCAACTTTAATAATTTATTCTCTAAAATACCCACTATTGGAACTATTATTAAAAAATAAGCAAAATAGAATAAAGACACCAATTGACCTATTAATATATATGGTTCTTCTACCGGTTGACCTCCTATTCAAGTTAAAAGAAAAAAATCTCCAACTAAAAACCAAAAGAAAAACTTACTTAACTGTCTAAAACTTAACCCTCTAAACCTACTTTTATGAAGATGTGGTAAAAAAAATAAAACTAATATACTTGCCAATAAAGCGATTACTCCCCCTAATTTATTTGGAATAGACCGTAAAATAGCATAAGCAAAAAGAAGATACCACTCTGGTTTTATATGCTCAGGGGTAACAAGAGGATTAGCTTGTTTAAAATTTTCTGCATCCCCTAATAAATACGGAAGTAAAAAAACTAATACACATAAACCTATTAATAAAACTATTGCCCCAAATAAATCTTTTACCGTGTAATAATGGTGAAAAGGCACTTTATCTATATCAGATCTAACCCCTATCGGATTATTTGAACCATCTTCATGTAAAGCTATTAAATGTACCAATGCCAACCCAATCAATATAAAAGGTAATAAATAATGAAGACTAAAAAATCTATTTAAAGTAGCGTTTGAAATACTAAATCCCCCTCAAACCCATTTAACTATATCATCCCCGATATAAGGAATAGCAGATAATAAGTTAGTAATAACAGTAGCGGCTCAAAAAGACATTTGTCCCCAAGGCAGCACATAACCAACAAAAGAAGTTATTATCATTAATAAAAATAATAAAACCCCTACATTTCAAACTATAATTCTAGAATAACCACCATAATATATTCCTCTCCCTATATGTAAATAAACACAAAAAAAAAACATAGATGCCCCATTAGCGTGCAAATACCTCAAAATAAACCCATAATTCACATCTCCTGTAATGTGAACTACAGATGTAAAGGCCAAATTCACATCTGCACAATAATGCATAGCCAAAAATATCCCAGTTATTACTTGTATAATCAAACAAACACCCAATAAAGACCCAAAATTTCATAAATAACTTATATTAGATGGTGCCGGAAGATCAACAAATATATTATTTACCAAAGATATAATTGGATTTTCTTTTCTTATTGTTCTTATCATCTTAAGAGCGGCAGGACTTGAACCCGCAATACTCTGATCCTAAGTCAAATGTGTTTACCACTTTCACCACACTCCCCCCTCTACAAATCAGAATCGAACTGATATAATTTTAGTTAACAGCTAAAAGCTTTACCACTAAGCTACTGTAGACAGAAGATGTTGGAATCGAACCAACACTAAAAACTTTGAAGGCTATCGGTCTACCATTGACCTAATCCCCTCTACCTAGTCGTGCAGGAATCGAACCTGCAATTATTAAGATCAAAACTTAACGCCTTCCCATTTTAGCTAACCACTATAATTTATTTTATTAACTATGAACCTCATCAGTACATAAAAATAAAAAGAAATAACCAAACTACATCCACAAAATGTCAATATCATACTGCTGCCTCAAATCCAAAATGATGATGCCTTGTGAATTGATAATATATAAGTCGTAATAAACAGACTAATAAAAAAGAACTACCGATTAAAACATGTGCCCCGTGAGCCCCTGTTGTTAAAAAGAAAGTTGATCCATAAACTGAATCGGAAATTGTGAAAGGAGCTTCATAATACTCCATTGCCTGTAACCCCGTAAATAAGATACCTAAAAAAACTGTGAAAACTAAACCTATAATGGCCTCTTTTCTTTTACCACTAATTATTGCATGGTGGGTTCAAGTAACAGTGGCCCCAGAACTTAGTAAAACAACAGTATTCAATAGAGGAACCGAAAACGGATTTAACGGATCAACCCCCCTAGGAGGTCAAACTGCACCTATTTCTACAGTTGGTACTAAACTACTGTGGAAAAAAGCTCAAAAAAAAGAAAAAAATAAACATACCTCCGATAAAATAAATAAAATCATTCCATATTTTAGTCCCTGTTTTACAACTAATGTATGATGACCTTGATATGTTGCTTCTCTAATAACATCTCGTCATCAAACCACCATTGTTACTACAATTATTACTAAACCAAAACTTAAAACTCAAGCAGGACTATAATGAAAATACACTACCGCCCCAACAGTTGTTAAAAAGACACCACTACCCCCTATATACGGTCATGGGCTTGGTTTAACTAAATGATAAGGATGATAAACTTGTTGCATCATAAACTCTCTTAATTTTATAATTACCCAATAGGACTTGAACCTACAACCTCTTACTTAGAAGGTAAATGCTCCCCCAATTGAGCTATGGGTAGATCTTAACTTAGTGAAGTGCTATAGTATCACCTAAATAAATAGTTGTCAATAAACAAAACACATAAGCCTGAATTACAGCCACCATTATCTCTAATAATGTGATAAATACCATAATTAACATAGGGGCTAAACTTGAAATTATCATCCCACTTGATAACATGTTAAACGCAAATCCAGATAAAATAGCAAATAATAAATGTCCCGCAGATATATTAGCAGCCAATCTAACTCCTAACGAAATAGCTTTTATTAAAAAACTCGCTGTCTCTATTACAACAAGAAAAGGAGCCAATACTAATGGAACCCCCCCTGGCATTAATATACTAAAAAAATTTAATTTAAATGTTAAAAGCCCTAATAATGTTACAGCTATTATTATTGACATAGAAATACCTAAAGTTATTACTATTTGAGCTGTTGGAACAAATATATAAGGAAATAACCCTAAAATATTTAACATAGCAATAAATATAAAAAGACATAACACAAAAGGAAAAAACTTTTGGCCCACCTTCCCTAAATTATCTTGAACCACCGAATGAATGTTTATATATATAAACTCAATAAGAAATTGCCATCTATTAGGTATTAATTTATTTCCCTCTAATAGCAATAAAGATATAATAACGGCTAACATCATCATCATTGAAGAGTTAGTAAAAATCACCGATCAATCCCCTAAAAAAACTTGTATTGTTATTAACTTAATAACATTAAATTGATCAAAATAGGCCGCAAACATTATATTATTAAAACTGTCTCCAATTTAATTCTTTCTTTCTTCATTTCTGTTGAATTAAATTGATCTCTAGTAACGATCTGTCATTGTAATCTGGGCAGTATGGAATTTACAAGTATTGAAAATAAAAAAAACAAAATTATCAACTTTCATATATACTGACACAAATAAGTAACCGCCTCTAACTGTGGCATACTGATGTGATTGGGCTCGAACCAACTACTTACAGATTAAAAGTCTACTACTCTACCACATGAGTTACACACCATTAAGATACAAACTTAAGCCTCCTCATACTGTGCTACCACTCAAGATACATATTTATCTAACGATACGCCCTCTATTACAATAGGCATAAAAGAATGATTTGCCCCACATAACTCAGAACATTGTCCGTAAAACACCCCTGGTCTTTTAAGAAAAAAACTTGTTTGGTTCAATCGTCCCGGCACTGCATCAACTTTCACCCCTAAAGATGGTACGGCAAATGCATGTAATACATCCGCCGCAGTTACTAATACTCGCACTTGTGTTTGTATGGGCACTATTAATCTATTATCAACCTCTAACAATCTTAAATCCCCTTTATTTAAATCAGAAGTTGGAATCATGTAAGAATCAAATTCAATCGTTTTTGTTCCATAATCGGAATACTCATAAGATCAATATCATTGATGTCCTATCGCCTTTATAGTTAAAGCTGGATCAATTACTTCATCCATTAAATACAATAATTTTAAAGAAGGAAAAGCAATAAATATTAATACACACGCAGGAACTAAAGTTCAAATTATTTCAATTAGAGTCCCCTCAAATAAATATTTATAATAATGTTTCAAAGTTAAAGCTCTAATTAATAATCATAAAACAATAGTAACAATAATAGTCAATATAAACATTATTTGATCATGAAAAAATATAATTTCCTCCATAACTGGGCTAGCGGCATCTTGAAAGCCTAACTGCCATGGCTCTGGAGCGTCCCTTAAAACTATTAATGATGAACTTAAAACAAAATTCTCCATATTTTCTTTTAACAATGACTAGTACTTAAAAACTTAGTAATCTTATACTATATATAGATCCTATCAACGTCCTATTCTCGAACGGTTCTAAAATTGGAAACATAGAATAATACCTTACTTCTCACTTGAGATGCATTCAGTGATTATTAATTTTATCGTAGCCACCCAACAGCAATACAATTGGTACACCAGCGGATAACTAAACACTCAATCCTTTCGTACTAGAGTGTAGTTGTATTTAATGTTTCCTAAATAAATTGTAGATAGAAACCGACCTGGCTCACGCCGGTCTGAACTCAAATCATGTACGGTTTTAATGGACGAACAGTCCAACCCTTGGAAGCGGCTGCACCCCCAGGAAACCGCAATTCAACATCGAGGTCGCAAACATCGTCATCGATACGAACTCTCAAACGAGATTACGCTGTTATCCCTGTGGTAACTTTTATTTATTGATCGTTAGTTATTCCACCCTAAACAAACGGGTCACTATAACCCACGGTTATAATCCACCGTGTCAGCTCGAGAATTACTCTTACTGTCAGGCTTTTCTTCTATTCTATTACAGTATTCACCTTATGTGCACCTTCGTTACTCTTTAGAAGGCGATCGCCCCAATCAAACTGTCCAACTTACACCCATAACTAGTTCTTACCAAAAAATTAAGTAGTACACCTACTTAATAAATTGAAAAAAACAATATAAGTCTCCAGTAAAGCTCAACAGGGTCTTCTCGTCTAACAATTTACACGTAGCATCTTCACTACGAATTCAATTTCATTGGTATTTATCTTGAGACAGCGGGGTACTCGTTAAGCCATTCATACTTGTCAACAATTAATTGACTATTGATTGCGCTACTTTATCGCGGTCAGAGTTACCGCGGCCATTTAATTGTTCTTAGTTAAGCAACTTATTTTATTGCTCAATTTTAAATACAACCACTGGGCAGGCCTCACCTTCAACACTTCAAACCAAAGGTCCTTTGTTAAAAGCTATGTTTTTGGTAAACAGTCGACACCCCCTCTTTTCTAAGACCAGCTAAATTAAGCTATTATACTTCTATCTTTCACCGGCTCCCCTTCTTGCGAACTTACAGGGACAATTTGCCGAGTTCCTTAAGATAAATTATACCATCACTCTTAAGCCCACTTGAGTTAGTTTGCGGTACCGTCTTTAAAGTAAATAATTTATTGTAACCACTTACTATTTATTCCCCATCAATCAGCTCTTAGGGGCGGTTTAACCCAATTCGGAAAATCCTAAAATTGGAAACCTTGGGCCATGAGCAGCGATTTTCACGCTGTTTTTTACTCATGTTCGCATTGTCACTTCTGATAAACGCTTTCGCAATTTTAAACATAATTACAGTACGTTCTGCTACCATCCTCATATAGATTCAGAGTTTCGGTTTACTACTTAAGCCGCCATAATTTAGAGGGTTATAAGTTCATTGAGTGAACTATTACGTTATCTTTCAAAGATGGCTGGTTCCAAGCCTACTTACTCATTGTTTTTACTCTTATTTAAACCTCTTTTACACTTAGAGCATGTGAACGACCTTAACTTCTGATCCAGGTTGTTTCCTTCTCGACAATGGACCTTCTCGCCCACGGTCTGTCTATCGTATTCTTCTTCTTATACTTTCATAGTTTGTTTGGATGACCTTCGTGCGGTAATCCATTCAGTGCTTTACCATACAAAAATAAATTAACATACGACGCATTACTTAAATAATTTTCGCAGAAAACCAGCTATTTCCAAGTTCGATAAGCTTTTCACCCCTAGCCACAGGTCTTCCGAGATTTTTGCCACAATCACCGGTTCGTTCCTCCACCTCCATTTAAAGAAGTTTCAAACTGCCCATAGCTAGATCACTTGGTTTCGGGCTCAATTTGACTTGATACTCTATTAAAATTTGTTTTCACTTCACCTACGTTTATCAACTTAAGTTTGCCAAATATTTTTCTCGCGAACCCATTATACAAAAGGTACGACGACTCTCGTCTGCTTGTAGGTAGCGAATTTCAAGCTCTATTTCATTTTTATCTCTTTCAACTTTCCTTCGCAGTACTTATTCACTATCGGTATGTTATATATATTTAGGGTTAGATGTGTGGTACACCTATCTTCAAATTATTCTACTCCTTTACCCTTATTTTATTTACGAGACTATTACCCTCTTTGGATTTTTAATTTATCTCCGCTTTCGCTCACCACTACTAACGGAATCTCACTTGATTTATTCTCCTCCTAGTACTAAGATGTTTCAATTCCTAGGGTTAATTATTTTTCTTTTTTAGGATATTTGGCCTTCATCAACCTCATGACCAATTTTCGTTATAATAACGTCCTCATATAACATCCTAGTTATCCATCCACTACCCGTTTCTACTAGCCTATAAATTTTATCATTAAGTGTTGAAAGATTTGAACTTTCCACCTTCGTAGTGTAAGCACGACACTCTACCAACTGAGTTAAACACCTTATAATCTGCATACAATAGGACTTGAACCTACCTTTATTGATTGGAAATCAATTATTTTACCAGATAAACTATATATGCATTAATCCGAGGACATTTTCCAATACCCTCACTATGTTACGACTTTCTCCACCTTATAAACTCTCCCTAATATTCAACTACTGTTAACGAATCTGGATAAAAAAAATTAATATTTGATATTTATTTCTTTAACTTAAATTAAACACTTAAAAATTATTTACTTGGCGGAGGTGACGGGCGATTTGTACGAACACTAGAGCCGAATTCACCGAAACGCTCTGCTTTTCGATTACTATTAAATCCAACTTCATGCCCCTATTTCAAGGTACAATCCGAACTTTTATTTTAAAGTTTTATCAAATCCCTCTTTGTATAAAAAATTGTGGCGCATATATAGCCCAAAACATTTGGATCATAAGGACCTGACGTCATCCTTAATTACGTAATTCAGACAAAATTATCGTTAAGGGTTGAGCTCCTTCTATTTCTTTCACAACACAAACTGACGACGGCCATGCAATACCTGTATTTAATACTCATTTTTTACATATTAAATATTCAAGTTTTGGTAAGGTTAATCGCGGATCATCGAATTAAACTACACGCCCCTCTAATTGGTTTAGTGAACCGCCAAATTTTTTAAATTTTAATCTTGCGATCGTACTCTTCAGGCGGAATCTTTTGAGTTCTCGTAGACTAACTTGTAATCTAATACTCATAGTTTACAGTAAGGACTACCAGGGTATCTAATCCTGTTTGCTACCCCCACTTTCGTGCTTGAGCGTCAGTTTTTAGTAATAAATTGCCTTCGCTTTTGATGTACCTGTTTATATTCAAGCATTCTACCGCTACATAAAAGTTATATCTACCCCCCTTAAACTCACTCACCTACGCACCCTTTACGCCTTTCTCAACAAAAACTTAGACCTTACGTATAACCGCGTCGGCTGGCACGTATATTTGACGGTCTATCTTCTGCGACATCCCTGTGTCATACTTTCATACATTGCACAAGATTCTCTACTGCAGCCTCTTTACGAGTCTTTCCCTTGTTTCAGTGAAAGTGTGGCCTCTCGACTACGCATCTTTGGCAGGACACAATCCTCTACCTAATACGATTCTAGATTATCAATTGGCTATAACATATACTTTTATTCACTATTTTATAGTGTCCAATTGGTTAATTCTAAAATATTACTCACCTGTCCGGGACACATAGTCTGTAAACTACTCGTTCCCTAGCATGTATTATAGGTGCCGCTCGCTTTATGTTATCCCCAAAATCAAAGGAATTGCCCAAGACCAGAATTGAACTAGTAACCTTAACATTTTCAGTGTTTTGCTCAACCAATTAAGCTACTTGTGCTAAAGAAATTTAATTGATGCTTAATATAGAACATTCAAAACATTTTTAAATAAGAGGTGGAGTTTACTGGACTCGAACCAGCCGCCCCAGACTTGCAAAGCCCAT